TATTTATGTTCTTGATTTGTGAACTTGCTTTGCTGTTTTTAATTCCAATGATTAATAAATGTTCTTTATACTCACTTGCTGAATGAATGATTAATGTGAATGAAATTATTTGAAGGGTATTACATAATAGTAATGGTAAATAAGTACTTATGTTCTTGATTTGTGAACTTGCTTTGCTGTTTTTAATTCCAATGATTAATAAATGTTCTTTATACTCACTGACTAAATTAATGCGAATGAAATGATTTGAATGGTATTACATAATAGTAATGGTAAATAAGTATTTATGTTCTTGATTTGTGAGCTTGCTTTGCTGTTTTTAATTCCAATGGTTAATATATGTTCGTTATACTCACGTGCTAAATTAACACAAAAATAATTAATATTATGAACGTATTACAAATTTTAATACTTTTTTATACTTACTCTCTAATAATTACGATTGGATTATTAATAATATAGAATATAATCTCAATTTTTAAAATAATAAAAATTAAAAAAAACTTACTTCTTAATCCATTCATAATACTTATTCTCATTCTTTTCAACGCCAATTCCGTAATAGTAACACCAAGCAGTTTTCCATATTCCATTGAAATTACCAGCTTCAGCCGACTTCAAGTAATGCACGAATGCTTTACTCTTATCGACATCAATTCCAATTCCTAAATAATAACAATAACCAACTTGATATATTCCGTTAGGATTATTCATCTCCGATGATTTTAGATAATTAATAAATGCCTTTTTTTCATCCTTTTCTACTCCAATTCCATGTTCGTAACAATAACCAATATAATTAATTGCTTCAGTATGCCCCGTATTTGCAGATTTTTCAAAATAAGTGAAACCTTTACATTCATCCTTTTCAACATTAATTCCATGAAGATAAAAGTATCCTAATTCATATGTTTCATCAGCGAACGGACTTTATAATTATATGCTAGTAATTCAACAGTTGTAGCTGATTAGAGAAAAAATACTAACAAGTGCTTATTTAAAGATGAATATAATAAAATTTACACTCACATTCTGGTTATTTAACAGACATGTAGTGATTAGAATAATTTGTAAAAAATATAAGATTTTCAAATAAACATTATGCATGCTTACCAAAATTAAAAAGATAATTGAACAAAGTCTATTTAGTTTATATCATTATAAATATAATTGAAAATAAATATTATGCTCACTCCCTATTATTTAATGTGTATATAATTAATTAGTGATTATAAATATTATTAAGAGAAGAATAACATTGTATTTACTTTTTACTTATTTCTATAAAGATTTTTGATGCCCATTCATCATTTGTTTCAAGTTTTAGCAATTTATTCACATCTTTTAATGACTCTTTATATCTTTCCATCAAATAATAGGTCTCTCCTCGATACCTTAGTGCAAATTTGCTGTTTGGTTCAATATCAAGCAATTTTGTTAGATCAATAAGCACTTCATCATATCTTCCCATGATAAAATTAAATTTTAATTGGCATTTAAAAGCTGATGCAGTATCTTGTTTGATTTTCAGAAAATTTACTAAATCTTTCGCATTATCACACATATTAAGTGCTTCAGTCCATGTTTTTCCCAATGATTCATCATTTATATCATCACCAGTAATCGCTATTTACAAAGAATTTCAGTAATAATTACAAGTCAAAGAAAACATACACTTAAAACTATTTTGCTTTACCTGCATATTTAAATTTTCTATGACCAAAATTTACTTTTATAGATCCACCTTGCGACCTCAATCCAACACAAGGATACAAAATTCCTTTTAAATCTCGGAACGCAATACCTTAAAATTTACGTTATAGAATATTAAACTATTGTGATGTGTATAATATAAAACAAAAAAACTATAGAGTCTACAATAACTACCTAGGTTTGTACCATTTTTAGTATAGAATACGGTGTTATTTCTAAAATTTAAACAGCATCCAATGGTATCGCCAGTAGAAAACGTCGGCCCATAGGGATTTCCCCTATACGAATAGCCGCAAAAGAAGTTGCCATCATCTCCATGATAACCCCAGGAACCATTATCCCAACCTATAAAAAACATGAATAAATATATGTTCAATATGCCAAAAAGCAAATAAAGTTTTAATTACCAGGCATTCTATTTAAGTTAACCGTCTTTTTGCAAAATCCAATTCCAATAATTCTTTTGAATAGAAGGATGTGAAGAATTATAAGCAAAATTTAAGAGTTTATATAATTTATGGTAAAAATATTTCAGCATACTTATTCTTTCCTTCATTTATTATATCAACTTCAAAATAAAACAACTTGCATTGCGGGGGAATTGGTTGATTTGCCCATATTGCACCGGATTCTTCGTAGCTTTTGCCCAAACCTAATCATTTAAAGAAAATTATATTATTCAGAAATATTAAATCATTCGTCGTGCTACTATAGTTCAGGTTTCGGCATGTATTATCATAATTCGTGCAAAAGTTTCATCACATGATTTGAATGAAATTTGCAACCTGCTGATACTAAGTCTCACCTTCATAATTCACTTTAAGTCCATCTGAATCTACGCTCAAAAAGGTAGATTTATCATTAATATTCCAAGCAGTTGGTAGATCCATGAGTTGCGTTAAGGGTAGGGTGAACTATTTTTGAATTTATATAAGTTGTAGATTTTTCTGATTTAAAGATTAAATTGATAAATTTTAGTCAACTTAGTCAACTTAGTCGTTTATATGATATAAGCAAGCATATGCATAATGTTTGAACATATATAAGTGGTCAAATGTTCATTAAACAAATAAAAGGTTTTATTTAGTGATGGGCAACATGCGGGATCTGCGCGGGATCCCGCGCGGGATCACGCGCGGGATGCGCGGGATTTTTTTGGATCCCGCGCAGGATTTTTAATATGAAATTATTCAGCCCACATTAGCTTTTCATCTGGCCTACATTACATCTAATCCGGCCTGCATTAACATAATCAGGCCAATTCCTAATTTGTTATTAATGTACATATGCACGCATTTCTCTGTAGAACCTTTTATTTGTTTATCATTCCACATAGAAAATTTAATTTCTTAAACTGTTAATATTAATAATGTAAAGAATCTAAAATTTTTAATTTTTTATATAAAAGTAATGCGCCAAGAATAAATATGTACTTATTAACAACTTAATTTTGTGTATACTACCGAAACTTAAAATAAGCCACTACTAAGTTTAGCTTATCTCCAATATGTTAATTGTTCTTTATTTAATAAATGATTAAATTTTTAGATGAGTATATGAAATAGGAAATTTGGCGGTTTAATCTCTATAAATTTTTAATTTAATACATAATAGTGATAGTTATACAATATAATAAAACAATAAATAGTCATACTTTTTGTATTAAATTCTGTATTACATATACAAATAATATGCGTTATGCATTATTTTTGTATGTAAATAAAATTAAACTATACGTACATATGTATAATTAAGTATATATACAATAAAAATTTAATTTTTTTGTCGTTAGTATTCTTTACTTACCTGTAATTTTATCCTTGTTATAATCAATATATAAATATTATTCAGTCACTCTTTTAATATTATTATAATATGGGTGGTAATCATCCAATTTGGCATCATTTTACAAAACTTGGACCAGATCCAGATTATAAACAGGGACGTGCTAAATGTAACTATTGTGAACATAAATGCAATGAATCAGTTGTAAGATGCGAAGGACATTTAAAATTATGTGACTATGTCAGTTTAGAAATCAAAAAAGAATACTTTGGATTTACATTTCAAGAGCCAGAAAAAAGAAATTCAGCAACCAATATAAGTAGACAAAGAACTTCTAATATTCAAAATTTTGTTGATAGAATCTCTCAAGCAGAACATGATGATATTGAATTATCATTTGCTCAAGCAATTTTTCAATGTGGTTTGTCTTTATCTTTGCCTGAATTAAAGCCAATAAAAGATTTATTTAAAAAAGTTAGACCATCTTTAACTTTACCAAGTAGAAAAAAACTTTCAACAACTTTATTGAATAAGACATATGAAAAAACTAAGAATGAAGTTGATAATATTATTAACAAAGCTGAATTTATTAGTATTATTAGTGATGGCTGGTAAATAACTTAATTTGTTTATTAATTAATTTATAAATTAAATTTTTAAAATTTTTATAAATTTTAAATTTTAAAATATTAAACTTAATATTATATTATTTTATTATAATATTTAGGACAAATTTAGTTTCAGAACATTGGACAAATTATATTATTACTACACCAGCTCCTGTATTTGTTTATGCTAAACCAACAGGTGAAGTTTCACAAAATAGTAATAATATTGCAACAGATTTAGAAAAAATTATTTTAAATTATGATTTAAAAAAAATATCAGCAATTATAACAGATAATGCCAATGTTATGAAAAAAGCATGGAAAATTTTAGATAAAAAATATCCAAAAATTATTTTTATGGGATGTTTAGCTCATAATCTTAATTTACTTGTTAGTGATATTATTAAATTAGATTGGGCACAAAAGATATTATCAAATGCAATAGTATTAGTAAAATTTTTTAAAAATCATACAATTCCTGCAGCAATTTTAAAAAGATATCAAGAAGATAAATATGGATTAAATTACAAAACTCTTAAATTACCTGTTGAAACTAGATGGGGTTCTTCAGCAAATTGTTTAAATTCAATTAAAGTTAATCAATTAGCAATTAGTTTAGCAACTACTGAATTAATTAATAATTCAACAACTATTATTAATTCAGAAATTATAGAAATTGTTCAAAATAATGAATTTTGGAATGAAGTTCAGAATTTATTAGTTATTTTAAAAATTCTTGTAAGTGGCATTACAATTTTTGAAAGTGATATATCATATTTATCACAATTTTATAAATGGTATGAAAATCTTGAAACTAATGAATGTAAATATTAATTATATTAATTATAAATATATTAAATTATACTAATAATATTTAATATTATATATTTTAATTATTAATTTACTAATTTTAAAAGATAGTAATTATAATATTTAATATTATTAGTATAATTTAAAAATTATATATTTAACTAATATTTTAATTTTGAAATTTTATTTATAGATTTAGTAAAAAGCTCTGCATCTAAACAAATTCTTGATATTATTGTAAAAAGATGGAATAGTATGTATAACCCTATAATAGAAATAGCATATCTTATTGATTCTAGATTTCAAGGTGAAACATTAGCTAATGATATTATGACAACAGTATCTGATTTTATTAAAAAATATTATCCTGAAACTTGTACAAAATTTATAGCCAATTATTAGAATATTTAAATCATTCAGGTCCATTTAATAATATTATGGCATGGGAAACAGTTAAAGAAGTTGATCAATTAACTTGGTGGTCTGGAAATTTTTTAAATTCAGCACCTGAACTTACTCAATTTGCAAAAAGAATTTTAACAATACCTACATCATCTGCAGCAGCAGAACGCAATTGGTCTGATTTTAGTTATATTCATTCAAAAAAAAGAAATAGACTTAAATCACCAAGAGTTTTTAAATTAGTTTATATATTTAGTAATAGTAAACTAAAAAATTCTTGCAATACTAAAAAAGAATTAATTAGTAAAATAAGCAAAACAGATAATTTAAATTGCTTTACTATTGATAAAATTAATTTAAAAGATGAATTTTGGGAAAACTTATTTGAAAATAATGAAAATGACTTAGATTTAATTGATGATTTAGAAGAAGAAATAGAAGAATTAAATATTAATTATGATGAAAATCAAAATAGTGATAATCAGTATAGTGATGATTTATATAGTGATGATCTATATAGTGATGATTTATATAATAAATATCAAGATATTGAAGATCAAAACATTGAAGAATAAAAAAATTAATAGTAAGAAATTTATAATAATTTATAAAAATTTAAGTTTTAATAATAATTATTAATTTTAATTATTTAAAAAATTTTAGATGAACAATAAAAATTATAAAATTAAAAAAAAAATATATAAAAATAAAAAATTAAAAAAAAATTAAAAATAAAAATAACAAAAAAATATAAAATATAAAATATAAAAAAAAATTAAAATTAAATTAGTAAGTATATTGTTTTTATATTATTTTTATTTTATTAAAATACTATTATATTATCAATTATTGATTTTTTTTATTTATTTAATTAAACAAATTGATAATATTAAGGCAAAATCTGAATTGATAAAATATAAAAATATATAAATTAAATTAGTAAGTATATTGTTTATACTTTATTTTTATTTTATTATATATTATTATATTATTAATTAATTTCAATTAATCAATTTTTAATTTATAAAATTTAATATATATATTATAATATCATAAAAACAAATTGTTAAAATCAGGCAAAATCTGAATTGATAACATTTAATAATTATAAGATTCATTTTCTTTAAGCTTAAATTGTATAAGAATTTTCTATATATGTTTAAAAATAGGCAAAATCTATATAAGAATTTATTTATAATAAATACATTAAGATTTATAAGAAAAAACCATTTAAAATGTACTATTTTTATAAGAATTATATTCCTGTAATAATCTTTATACACATATTTATTATTCATGAGAAATTAAAAAACTCTATCCTATCCCGCGGATCCCGCGCGGATCCCGCGCGTGATCCCGCGCGGCTGCGCGGGATTTTAAAAAAACCGCGATTTGCCCATCACTAGTTTTATTGTAATCTTAAAATTTTATCAGCAGCACACGTTATTAATCGCTTTACCTTTAATCCTTACCAGTTAGAGCAATTTTTGAATTTTACGAGTAGATATTTTTTACTATGCTTATCGATAATATATTTTTCATTAAACGTCTACTAGCATTCAGTTTTATACTTTTAGGTACAATGAGAGAAATCAACAAAAAAGATTTGCATACATCAGTCTCGCGTAACATCATGTACAGTACATCAATTTTTTCCGACGCTAAAATTGGTGATACACGAAACATATGTACACAAATTATCCCCCAAAATCCTATAACTTTATATAGAATAAGGTTCAACTAACATTGGGTTAAGCTAAATTAAGAAGTGACCTACTTTGAGCTTTATCATTATGTTTAGAATTATTGCATTAAGTGCGTATTATTTTTGGCGTAATTCACCATACAGTCAGACCTCTATAAATGAATTGTGACAGGACCATATGTAAAAATTTAGCTAAACGTGCATTTAGAGAGTATTGCTTTTAGGGAGGTAAGAATCTATAAGTATTATATTAGTTGGATCTATGCATTTAGAGCTTTCCATAGGGTGTACATTTACTGTTTATAAAATTCGGGGTACGTACAATTCCTAAATCATCGACCTCAATAACGTTTAATGTTTATTGGCTAGAAATGGCTCTTGCGTGCATATCAAAAATTTTATAAAAAAAATATTGTATTACAACAGCTTCCGTGACAAATATTGTAATATATGGGATGTGGTCGCTGTGCAAGTCATGTACGTACACAACTCTTGCAGAGCGGTTATACTCTTTACTTTTACTTTTTTCTATTCCCTTCTTTACCTGTATCTCACTACCCAATCCTCTAAAACTCATTCTCAATTTTTAAAATTTCATTCGTTTCATTTTGTACACAAACAAGGTTCAAGGATATATATTGAGGGAGTTTGTTTATGTTGTTTATGTAGTTTTATAAAATTAATATGTTAGTTATAATACGGAGTTTTTATACTGTTATCGTAATTGCAGAGCTTAATTAACAAACATGAGTTTCTTGTACTGCTTGCGGCAACATGGTGCTTAATTATAATATAAGATTCTTGCATTAATGGATGGTAAAAATATATTTCACAGATTAAATTATGCGATAATTATGAACTTGATATGTTGAGGTTTAAATTTAATATAGTTGGATCGTAATCATTACATGTTTTAAATCGGTGAACAATGATTTTCTACCATCCTTATTTGCACTGCTATTGCAATTGCAGAGCTTAATCATCAAACAGGAAGTTCTGCATTGTATTCAGCATTAATAGAGCCTAATTACAACACGAAGCCTTTGCATTTTATCATGGCATGGAGTTTACTTATGAGATGAGGTTCTTGTATTTTTATAGCTTAATTACCAACTATGAAGTTTTTGCACTGCCTGTGGTAGCCAGGATTTTGGCAGTTGATAATAATCAGTAATATTATGATTTATTTTTAGCTTTATTTTTCAGCTTAATGATAGTTTCTGACTGGTGTCATGTGATTAAATTTGTATGTAATAAGCAATATAATGTAATAATTATTGTACGACGAGGTGCACATCACTACCTAAATGACATCTAACCCTAATTAAAAATAGATCTGCATCAAGAAAGTAAGCTAAAAAACACGAGTTTCACCCTTTTCGTATCCACACTGATCTACAAAATCAACGCAGGTTTCACCCTGTCCTATTATCAAGTAAGACATAATCATGGTCCATTATCATTACTGAAGTTACTTTGCCCATCCATGGACTACTTACACATGATATTATGATTTAAATGTAATGAGTGATAATTAAAAGGCATTAAGTAGCAAGTGATTGAAAACTCCTGATGGTCCTTTTTTAATTGCTAATATATTTATGATCATCAATTTAACATTATTATTATTTTATAGATACAATAATAAATAAGATAGCCATGCAGCACATTGTGCTGCACGAGACCAGTACGATTACACATGCAGAGGTATTAATTATTTAACATTAATTTTCGCAAAGTTCAATATTTAAATTATTGGAGTTATTATTACTCAATCAACTAATTATTATATATTTTATATTCTAACTTTTTATTAATTACTCAATTTGCTATCGATCGATTATTTTGTTGCGCGGATCCAATTATTATAAATTGTGTAGTTTTATATTTAATCACATAAATATAGCATTTTATTTGTTTACTGAATCGAATGATTAATGATTGAAGGTACTTTGCTAAATTTCTCAAAATAGAACTTGGTAAAAAATTGCCAATGTTTTATCTAATTTATTGCTAAAAGTATGCATTTTAACGGTGATGATAATGAACTTTTAAATCAGATAATTTTTGCTAAAATTGGTTAATTTTAGCAATTTCATTTGAAATAAATTTTAACTTATATTTAAATATATAGGACAGTTATAGTGATTGATTTGTAACATAAATGTATTTTATTTGTGCTTTATTTGTAATATAAATATATTTTATTTGTATTTTATTTGTACTTTATTATAAAAATAGATTACAATTTTGCAGTCCTGCTTTATTATCTAATTTTTATATTTTATAACCATAACACCAATGCTTTGAGCCTTAGCCATCAAGAGTTGTTAGAAAATTAGAATTCTTAATTATAATATCAAAATTTTTGATTTACAATGAAAAGTATCAATTGATATGCCTCACGAATTTTCGATTTCAGGAAGAAACCGGCGTGAGATGCAGCGCATATTTGAATTCGTAAACTCCAATATCACATTATTTATATGATACCTGTAAATTTGTTTCAAATTTAAGGCCTTTGATATATAAACAACAAATAAATCATGCCAATTGTTCTAATAAAAGATTCTATGATTGGTATAACTTACCTAGATACATAATTTGAATTTATTTATAAATCCGAATAGATATCTGGATCCAGTACTATATTCGCAAGCGTAGATCTTAAAATATAAAGCAAAGTATATAATTTAAAAGTAGATTGAAATGATAGTTTATGAAACATGTTTTTGAACCCACTATTATCACTTGCGAATAACAGAGATTTCCATGTATGAAGTTTTATATCTTTAATTTCTAGATTTTTTTTTTTTGTAAACTTATATAAATTAATAATTTGTTAATAAAAATGGCAATAAGTTTAAAAATCACATTACCTTCAGTATTTTCGGTCCTTAAGTTGAAAATAAAAACATGTCATTGTTGGAGCCGCGAAATAGTGGCCATTTGATAAATTTTTATATTTTATCCTATAAGTGGTTCGCACATCTTCAAATGGATAACCCTTTTTAACATGTGGCTCGAAGTCGATTTATATAACAATTTTTAGTACATGATGCAATAACCTTATATTAATTTTAAAAATAAGCTATCACCTATTTTCTCACCTTCCGTATCTAAATCTATACGGCATGAGTAATAAAATATGCATAGTTCGGGCTTATTTGCTTTTTTTTTTTTTTGATTCATTATTGCACACCTTTAAGTATTGCTGTTAATCTCTTGATCATCTGATTGTTCGACAGAATGAATGAACTTGCCACAGTCACAATATTGGGAATACATGTCCCAATAAGCTTTTAATGTAATTGATTACAACATATGCAACATATCAATATCTTATAGATATCTGTGCTGCATCAAAATCATATAATCGAACATGCTCATCCGTAGCTACCATAAAATATCTATTAGCAATGTTTGGAACAAATGAAATAGTAAATGCCATGTACATTAATCCATCCACAATTGATTGTTTACTAATGAGTGTTTAAAAATAATAAGTTAGCTGTATGTAAATTAGTTGCAAGTTATATAAACTATGTAAATTACTTACAGTTACGTCCAATCGTTGCGCATTTTCCACTTTATAATATATCCGTCTTGTAATTTAATAATGCTCTCACCATATTAAAATTATGGGTATCATTGTTACTAATACCTGGATAGAAATTTTTTTAATAGTAAAATAATTTGAATAGAAAATTATTACAGACAAATGTCATGTGCATTCGAAAAAAGCTAGGTATAGGGGTTTAAATTCCAAGAAACAACATTGCTCCAATAAGGGTATACGGGCTTGAATTCCAACGAACAACATTACTCCACTAAGTTTTAAAGAAAATCATGATATATTTTAATCCATTCGGAAAAATAAATATATATTACAGTTTCAGAGGTAGGATGGGTAGCGACAAATTTTCAATTTAGAACATCTTCTAAAATCATTAATATTAATAAAATAATTGTAATATAATAAATTTACTTACCAAATATTGCAAACCACGGTACGTACGAAATACATTAATATATATCTTGCAAATTACAATTAGATAATCATAAATAGCCATTTCACCCTTATTCAATGTTCTTGTAACGAGTTGTTTAAAGCTTTCTATCACAATTTTATTTTTACATAATGCGCCTAGTCACATAAAATAAGGTCTTATATTAATATATATTTTTTACAAACACGTCAAAAATAAATAGCGAAAATAATATATACTTAAATGGCTGTAAAGAAGAAATCATTTCAGAGATATTCACGATTTGAAGTGTCATGTTGTTGCAGAGAACATCTTGCTTTACAATTGTGAACAAATGAAACATCTGGTGACCGTGACACAACTGATATTGGATGAATTCGAGAATTATTGTAAATATGTTGAAAACGATATATAGGGCATTCTAATAAATCATCGCATT